ATTCCTGCTCGAGGTTGCGTTCCAGGAAGGCCATCTTCTTTTGCTGAGCCCGGTTGTTCGATGACCGGAGACCGTTGTTATACTGTTCCCTCGTCTCGTCGAGCGAAATTTCAAGCTCGACAACACGCTCGCAGCGGTTCTGCAGGTCGCGCATGAGACTCTTCTTCATGATGTCGAATTCAGCAATCTGCTGTTGGATTGTCTTGCCGTTGGCCATGGGCGCGCCGGTGCCGGCCTTTAACCCGCTGCTGCAGATCCTCGATCAGAGTCTGAAGCCTGCCATTTTCGGCGGCCTTGTGGGTAATGTCGGGCCTTGAGCTCATCCACAGCCTGCAAAGATGCAGTTTGCTTGTTAGAGTAAGCGTTCTCCAGACGGGCCTTGACCTCCTCAACATCGGCCTCGCTCAGATTGCGAGTCAAAAGCGACTCATACTCCTCCTGCACAGCTGCAAGCCGGTCTTCGAGCTCCAAACGGCGGCGAGTCTCCGCCTCGCTCGAGGATGAGCGATAGATTGAGAGCTCAGCCTGGCGGACGATGCTTTGGATCTCCTCAAATCGGGACTTGAGGGTATGGAATTCTTCGGGCGCGACAGCGTCGCCCCCCAGAGCTTTGTTCACGCAGGGTCTCTAGATGACTAATGGCATCCGCGATGGCCTTTTCGTTGTCGCTGAAGACATCTGCGCCGAGATCAAAGCCAGCCATCATCTTGGCCATTTTCTCAGCCTTCTTCTTCTCCTTCTCGTCGAGAAGTGCTCCGCTCTCCTTGGCGTTCATCTTGACATCAAGGAGATGCTGCTTGACCTCGTCCAGCTCGGCCGTCAGCTCCGAGTTTTGTTCCTTCAGAGCGTCCATCGTGATTTGTGCCTCCTTCCCTTCAAAGCTCAAGCGCTCCATTTGCATCTTGACCTCGTTGACTTCTGCTGTGAGTTTCTCGTTCTCCTTGCCGGTTCTACTATCATGTTCCTTAAGGAAGACAAGTTCCTCTTTGATCTCGCCAAGAGACTTCTCAGCCGCGGCATACTGACTTTCCTTCTCAGCAAGCTGATCTTGCAGCTCGTTCTCACGACGCAGGAACTCATCCCGCTCGTCCTTGTCGAGCGGCAGGCTTGGCGTCCCTGCGCGCTCCGAAATGGCAGGCGTTTCTGCCCTACTTTCCGGCACGAGTCTCGAAGGCGTCGAAGGTCGAGGTGCTCTAGCTTCTGCTTTGAGGGCAGAGTGGCCGTCGGTGAGTGGGGCCACCCACTTGTCTTTGGGGACCGACTCTCCAGACCGCCACATCTGAATCTCGCCTTCCAGGCTGGAAATATAGCCCTCAAAGTTTGTGATCTGTCCCTTGGCTTTTCCGAGCAGAGATTTGAGCTCGGCGGGGCTGAGCTCGGCGTTGACCTTTGCCTTGTTCTTGATCGCCTTGGCCCTCGTTCCGAATCTCAAGGTGCTGATGGTTTCGGCATCGTTGTAACTGCTAGGCGAGCAGTTGATGATAAGCGTCGTGCGACTGTTGCCTCCGAGAGATTCTTGCAGGATGCGTGTTAGTTTCGAGTCGCGATACGGAATGTGAGAGGATCGGCCATCCGTTAAGGAGTTGATGACCATGCCGAGGGCGCTCAAAGATTTGTTGATCTTTTTGGCCTCCTCCAATGTCTGGCCGCTGGCGCCCGTCTTGCCGACCTTTTCGCTGCCGGCAAGATCGACAAGGAAGAGTTGGCCGCTCTTTGCCGAGCCTGTTTCGACGTTCTTCTGGGTAATGGTGATGACAAAGATCGAATGGGATCGCGAAGACTCCTGATTCATGTTGGTGGCCGCCACGGCGCGGGCGTTACCACCCCGCCTCATGACTTCATAGACCTCCTGCACGCTGGAAACGTAAATCTCGAGCAGACCCTTGACATAAACTCCACGACTCTTTTCCTCGTGTACCGGCAGGTTGTCATTTTGCGGCGCTAACAGATCACGAATCTTCTCCATGTAGATCTCCATGTAGCTGACTCGCACAGTGTATTCGATTGTACTGGGGCTGGACATGATGCTGGCGAAGATCTGCTCGACAATGCGAGGAATGACTCCTCGGCCCTCCTCATCGTCGATACTGGAACCCATCATGGTGTAGGACTTGCCAGCGCCTGTCTGACCGTAAGCGAAAACGGTGCCATTGTATCCGTTGAGAATATCATCGACGGTGGATCGGATGGAGAAGTCGAAGATGTCGGACTGTTTACATTCCATATCAAACACGCGATCGAAGGTAAAGGCGCCCTGTGCTTCCTTGGACTGTTTGAAAAGGCGAAAGATATATGTTAGCAAGCTGCGCATCTCATCCGTGACCTCCAGGTCACAGGAGCTGTGAAAGGTGACGTACGTCAAGAGCACAGGTGTCCTCGGAGTTGAAGGAAACAATCGGTTGACCGCCCGATGCCAACTCGATCTTGTTCTGCGGCCGAAACCGGGCGACAACCTTAATGCTGTTGGCGCTAGACATGACGACGACGGAGGAAATCTAGCAGATGCGATGTGCTGGGTCGAAGCATGGAACTCGGGTGGAGGACTTGAGGACTCGACCCGGTGTGGTGTCGGGAAATCAGGGGGAGAGGCTTGTTGTTGCGTTGCGGTGCGTTGCGGAGCACACAGAGCGGGAGACCCCGAGATGCGCCAATGATGGGCTCGTGGGATTCAGAGCGTGGTCAAGCAGTACCGTGCATGTCGGAATCGTTCGATAGCGAGCTGGGTCTTTTCTGGGGGGGGAGGTGAAGAGCGAGAAAGACGGTTCACGGAGAGAGGGGGTTGAGGGAGGGAAGTCGGTGGACGCGGCGCGGTGTGGAGGGAATTCGCGTTGACTGTGCTATGGTGGTGGGCACCTGGTAACGGCGAGCGAGATTGAACAACCAAGCAGCCAGCACCACCTTTCCATAGTAGTGGTTTCATGTGCCTGCCTTAGGCTTGTCAGGGCGCGGGAGTTCCTCACTGTGGCAGGGGCCGAATAGGTGTCACCTACCGCGGAATTTAGTGAGCGGGTCGCTAATCATTCGACGCAATGCGCCATACCTAGCGCTAGTTACCACCCCGCGAAATTGGCATCAACCCATTCCACGGCTGAGGCACTCTAAGTCATCATCACATGGTGGGGGGTGATGTAGGGTGGCAGATAAGTTGCAAGTTGCAGCCTCTCCAGTTGCAGTATCTCCAGATGTCCGCCTCAAGGTGGCCAGGCACGTTGTAGTTTCAGTAACATAGATCACGCATTTGCAGCCATCGATGCCACTCGTATCTCATCTCTTGTAGCTATCTTGCCCGCCCCTAAGTACATAGGTAGTCGATCGTATCGTATCCCTTTCCACGCCGCCAAATGGTAACAAAGCATAGACCCAAGCAATCCAGACGCCAATAACCAGTGACCGACAACCCTGACTACAAAAACAAAAGAATCCGGCGCTCGATGGAGTAGTGGTCACTTTGACCACATGGCTGTCATGTTTCTGTTTCGTCTCGCATACTGCCCTCTGTCACAGGCAAGTACATACTCGACCGGGGTATTTGAAGATGGCTCGCTGCATGTTGTCCAGCGCCGAGCACAGCTAGTCCTCCCAGCTCTTTTCCACCGTCTCCCGCACCCGCTTCGTGTACTCCTTTCGGTTGTCCTTATACAGGTTCGAGGCTTCGACGTTTGCTGGTGATCCCGTGTTGGGGTCATTCAGTAGACTCTGGATGCTGGTGAGAACAGCTGCCACGTCGTATGTCGGGCTCCAACGGTTCTGCAGAATATCCAGACAGAGCTCGCCTGTAGCGTAGACGTTGGGGTGGAACATCTGGCTGATAAACTTGACGGCAGGTGGCTTGTTTGGGTATTGCTCTTCAAACTGCATCACCAGTCTGAATGTGCCGTCTTCGAATGGCGTGTCGGCGGGACCAATAATCACAGCATTCCTGTTTCTCCGTCGTGAGTAAAAACAAATCATCCACGTGAGGTGGTTCGCCGTACCATGTCATGACATTGTCCGGGACTGGCGAGGCGGAAACGCCGGCAGGAGGATCTGTTTGCATTCGCTACCGTCCATAGTTAGAGACCCGTTGACACATCGTAGCGATGATACCCTGAAGTGGGACGCACCTTGAAATCGCGCATCAAGCGACGCCTGGCGGCTGTAGACATGCTGTCGGATGGTGGCTTGTTGGTCAGGGCGTGCACAGATGGGTAGTTGGCTGCTTCGGCGACAGGATGAGCAGATCCCGAAAAGCACTGGCAACGAGCGATGATGATGTCCCGAATCTGTCTCGTGCGTGCACAGATATTCAAAACAAGAGAGTGTAGTCGAGTCGCAGGAGGTCCGTCGGGAGAGGATTGCAGGGGCCAAACAAAGTCGATTTGTCAGGTGGGTGTGGCAGAAGGTTGAAGGAAAGGAAGCCTGAGCTGAAGACAGGACAAGGTGCTCTACCATCAGATGTGCAACGTTCATCGGAACCCGCCCATCATGCGCCGGCGGGCGAGGCCATTCGATAGCCAATCAGCGCGCTCAGAGCGCCCCAGCCGCCAATCGCCACAGTCGCTCGCTGTCTTTGGCAACGGTACATGACTTAAACTGAAGCGGATCAAGGTATGCAATGCCCAACACCGAGAGGACAATTATAGCGTCTGCTATCATCCACTCGGTAATCGACCTACCTTGATGGCGCGAAGTGTGAGACGGGAGCAGGTCGCGCATCTACGGTATTGCTCACTTGGGGCGCATCGTGACCTCGTGGGACTTCTTTCTGTTACGCAGCACGGCTGCCCTCTCCCTCGCTCAGAAGAGTCCAGAGAGCTTACTGTGTATGGCGCGTCGTGAGACAGTCTAGCATGACGACAGAGAAACCAGTTGCTCACATGAGGCCTTGCGCGATTAGGGAATCTTAGCCCGACTCTGCACTACTTTGGGCCGAGTCAAGTTCGATGCACGGCCTAATAATTCCATTTGGGTAAATCTAACAAGTGAATGCGTACCGACGTGGCTCTCATTATACCGCGATCTGGCTCTGGACCCCATCACGTCATATACGGTGAACGCTTTTACTCTCAGGCGTCTATCTACCGTACTGGCCCCACAGAGGACAGCTTCATTTCGGACCATGTAGTGCTCCTGCCCAAAGTATCCCTGAATGCAACGCATTGTAATCTATCATAGGCCGTCGGGTACATTTCATGCAGAAGGAAGTTTGGGGGTTTGGCGAGATATTTCCCGAACGAGGGCAACACGGGATGCCATCCAGCTAAAGCTTGCATCTCGCTTGTAGATCCATGGGTAGCTGCTAGATGCCCAACACCTTTGTTAGAGCCACACGACGGGAGCGAGACCTGTGGTACAGTCATAGACTTCACACCATGTGCTCAAGGAACCCACCGACCAGGCTGTATGGGGATCAGGCTAGAGGTGCCTGCAATGGATTAATCACTTTAAGACCAGCCATCAACGAGCCAAGGGGTCTTCTATGCTCATTGCTTCCCAGGTACACTGTCGTAGTCGAAGATCCAGAGAACCCCGTTGTGTCATGCGCGCGCTTTCTGCAATCCGTGATCGCTTTCGAGAACTGAGCGGAAGTGAGGCGATCAGCTCTCATCAACCTAAGGACCACTGGAGAGACATAGACAGAGGAAGAGTCCAGGGGTGTGAAATTGCGCATCTTGCCTAGGATAGGCTGGTGTCCTTGGGGAACCGCATCGGTATCTAGAACATTGTATGAATAATTGAATAACATAGTATCGCCAGAACGCAGCGCCGAGGCCACTGTTGGGCAATTTGAGTAGCTGGAAGGCCAATGTTGTGGACTGGTCGCGTACGCTGGGTTTTGTGCCATTCTGGTTTCCGGGAAACGATGCGACATCAGGGGGGTTACTGGGCCGTTCTACAGTTACAACAAACAACTTGCTTGAAGCGAAGAAAGTGATATGTTGAGCCACGAGCCAGCCGCTTTACCTTGGCTAATACGTTAAGTGAAGTAATCAGGCCGAGCCGTCAACAATAGTAACCTTATGCAGGAATTTCGGCTCATACCCGGAGGGTATTGATCAGCTCTGCTCGGAATCAGTGAATCGAGAAGTGCTCTAGAGCCCCCCAACCTCAACCCCCACAGCGTCGGAGCCTTTTGGGCAGGGTGCGGGGCCGATGGGAATAGCAGCCGACGTCAATCCCGCCTCCCCCGCAGGTTCCGAGATCGTTGGTTGTTCTTAAGCCGAGGCAGCCCGAGGTCGCCATCAAATCCGGGGTAAGGTCGCGTTCACATGTCCCCTGTGACGCCCTCCCACCTCTCCTTTTATTTCACCATCACAGACTTTGCGAACTCGCCTGTACCACAAACTCGTTCTCCACGCCACTACTTCGCTCAGAACAATGACCGTCACGCAGCTCAGGCGAACGACGGCGCTCTCTGGCCAGGTGGTCAGGCAATTCGCCGCTCGTCCGTTCTCCACGCGAACCGCGCTTCAGCAGGAGATTCGGGATGCTTATATCCTCAGCGCCGCCAGGACCCCGACGGCCAAGGTTCGTGGCAATCGAAACCACTCGTGTCAGCTGAGCTCTAACGAGTATGTGTTCCGCAGTTCAACGGCTCCTACACCACCGTGCCCGCCCCGAAACTGGGCGCCGTCGCCATAAAGTCGGCCCTCGAAAAGTCTAAAGTGCCCGTGTCCAAGATTACTGATGTCTACATGGGAAACGTCCTCCAAGGCTCTGTTGGCCAGTCTCCTGCTCGGCAAGCTGCCATCTTCGCCGGGCTCCCCTCGAGCGTTGAGGCCATCACCATCAACAAGGTCTGTGCCTCTGGTCTGAAGGCGGTTGTTATGGCGGCGCAGAACATTCAACTCGGCCTGTCCGAAGCCCAGATTGCCGGCGGCATGGAGAACATGACGCGGGTACCTTACTATGTCCCTCGCTCGTCGAACCTTCCGTCGTTTGGGCACGTCAAGATGGAGGATGGCTTGATCAAGGATGGTCTTACCGATGCCTACGACGATATCCACATGGGCATTTGCGCCGAGAGCACAGCCAAGAAGTACGAAGTCACGAGAGAGATGCAGGATCAGTACACTGTGCAGTCCTACGAGCGCGCGCAGGCCGCATGGAAGGCGAACGCCTTTGATGACGAGATCGCCCCGGTAACAGTCTCTAGCCGCAAGGGCGACACAGTAATCAAGGTGGACGAAGGCTTCAACGATGCCAAGCTCGAGAAGCTGCCGACTCTGAAGCCCGCCTTCGTCCGCGATGGAACGGGCACCGTCACGGCCGCCAACTCTTCTACCCTGAACGACGGCGCAAGCGCTCTTGTTCTGGGCAGCAAGGAAATTGCCCGAGAGTACGGATCCGGTTCGAGGGTACTTGCGAAGATTTGCGGTTCGGCCGACGCGGCTGTCGACCCCATCGATTTCCCCATCGCACCAGCATCTGCAGTCCCTATTGCCCTGAAGCGCGCTGGAATCACCAAGGACCAGGTGGCCATCTGGGAGTTTAACGAGGCGTTTGCGGCTGTCATCAAGGCCAACGAGAAGGTGAGTAATTCCTGCTGTCCAGTCATGAATCACTCGTTAATTGTTGATTTCTAGATCCTGGGGCTTGAGAATGCGAAGGTGAACCCTTTGGGTGGAGCTATTTCGCTGGGACACGCGTTGGGAAGCTCGGGTTCGAGGATTTTGACGACTCTGCTGCACCAGCTGAAGCCTGGTGAGTATGGTGTCGCGGCTATTTGCAACGGCGGAGGTGCTGCGACAGCCCTGGTGGTGCAACGCATTGAGTCAGTGTAGAGTTTCTAGACGTAGACACCGTAATGACATTTGGATGATCAATTCTGACGAGGCACCTGGTGGTCCGCGGTGATCTGCATATCTTCAGACTCGAAAACGACTATAGGCAAGGTTACAGTGTGATGGCTAAAGTCAAGAAGCTATCGTTGAACTGCCTGAGTCGTTCGCTAGGAGCAAGGTACCTATGCATCCAGGGATTGAACCCAGCGGGAGCAGTCCACTGACCGAATCACACCGACCAATTGCAACCTCTCACCGGGTCACCGAGCTCTTCAACTGGGGACAGGACCGCGACTTACCTTTAGGTTACCGCATTTCTCATTGACTGAGCAGCAACAAACAATATCCAACGTCGGTATTCACGGCGACCACGCTCAATTCTGCGCCAATGACGCTCCTGATTGAATTTCTCACACAAATCAGGGCCTTTGTGCGCCAGCAAAACGGTGACGAGCTTCGCAACTGGCTGCTGGTGTGGACCCAACGCCTCACAGACTTACCACAACCCTTGCCGCGCAGCTTCGCACCGGTTTCCGTCAACAAGATAGCACAGCTCTCGAACAGACGATCGAGAGGTGTCTTCCTGAGGATGACGATGTCTCAGAAGGCGAGGCCACGCCATGGCCTGGTTTCGTCACATTCATGAAGGACTACCTTTTGTTTTGGCGAGATGTGGACTTTGATAACCTGCTGGCGGCACACACGTTGCTCAGTGGATTGGTCAAGTGAGTGGCTCTTGTGCTTTTGTGTTGGATGCGACTGACTGGGTGACGGCACACAGCTCCTGTGGAACGGCTTTTGCTCATCCTACGTATGGTGGCATGCTACTCAAGACGGCCATGTCATTATGCGAGACCATGTCTAGGCTGACAATGATGGTCAGTCGTCGCCCTGACCTGACCATGCGGCTGCGCAACGTTGAAGCCGATGACCGCAAGTCCATTGCCGAGACATCGGCTGAAATTATTCAGAAGATATTCACCACGTGTCTGACGGATCGCACAAGTGCGCGCTACAGCAAACCGGAAGGAAAGAAGATTGGCGTCTACATGTTCGCCAACCTGGTGCTGAAGTTGCTCTTCGCCTGCCGCCGGACCCAGCTTGCGAAGCAAATCTTCACCAACATTTCGTCCAATTCACCGCCACTGTCCCTATATCCTGCCGCACAGCGCGTCACCTTTCTCTTCTACCTCGGCCGTTTCAATCTCTCCAACAGCCACTATGTCCGAGCCTCGCTCTGCCTCCAGGAAGCGTACAGCCAGACGCCGGCCCCTCTGGTCTCCCATCGACACCGCATCCTCACCTACCTCATCCCTGCCAACCTCTTCCTCGGCCGGCTCCCTACGCAGAGCCTTCTCTCCCGGCCCGAAGCCTCTGACAAGCTGGCGGCCGTGTTCGCGCCTCTCGCGTCAGCCATTCGTCAGGGCGACTTTGTCCTCTACCAGCACACGCTGGCGACGCACGAGGACTGGCTCTTCGAGCGCGGCCTCCTGCTGCCGCTGACGCACCGCCTGCGCCGCTGCTCTGGCGCTCGCTCGCGCGCCGCACCCTTCCTGCTGACGTACGCCCTCACCGACGCCGACCACAAACGCCGACCCCAGCGTGCCGCGCGCAAGGG